TTAGGGATTAGTGTTTTTTTTTTTTTTTTTGGTTGGTTAACTTAATCCTCTTCAAAATCTTCGAGTCATTTGGACATTTTTTTCTTTTCATCACTCTTATTTCGATTCTTGTTGTACCTTTATAATTTGTTGAAAAAATTTAATTTGTATGTAAAGTAAGGATTATAGTGAATCGATTTTCTCGAGGGAGAGGGAGGGGAATTTTTAAAAATCTAGAATATTGGAGAGAGAGTTATAAGAAGCGGATAAATTTAAAAATTTCATAATTCATAAATGAACTCGACATTTAACTTTGATATTTTCTCAAGCCTCGATTAAAATATTTATCATATACAGATATACAAAAACTGGATCACCGTGGACACGGACAGTGTATACCCGAGACAGAAATGAATACCTCGGATCGCTAATGAAATATTGCTGAATTATACAACTGGATTGTCGTCGCCTGTCCAATCGATCACGTAGACAAATTTGTTTTCGAAGAAAAATCACCATGTGGTGACGGCATCACGTGGATCTCATGAAGGGAGAGAGGGAGGGGGAGGGGAAAAAACGTGGCAGGTTTGGAAAAATAAGGGAATCGGTCGGGAGTGTGTAGTCTTACAATATCCTTTTAAATCTAAGGAATCGTCGAGTTTGAGCGAGAGGGTGGTCCAAGAAGGGACCACCAAAGCCGTCGTCGTATGTGAATGTTTTCGATGGCGGTCCCCCGTTGTACGTGAGATTTTTACTAATATCCGCGGCCTCGGAAACAAAGGTCTCCCTGTTTCGATTTTGTTTTTTTTTCCCCCCCGTACGTACGTACCTCCATAATAATATTAGAGCATAAATTTCAAGATCTCATTGTTCCACGACCTTGGATGAACCACCAGTTTCATTTGCAATTCATCGAGACGAAACGCAAAGAAGTGTAACGCGTAATCCCTCTCTTTCCATTATTTTCTTAATATCGTATTTAATATATCACATTTCATCACGAAATACACCAAATTTTGAAATCTCTTGGCGCGAGAAAGCAGGATCATATCTCGTCGTATAATAAAAATTTTTCGCCAAAATAAAAAAATTAGGGATTGACGCTCTTCATTCCGTAATTTTACTCCTCCCATCAAAGGGGAAAATTACAATCTCCCAAACGAGAAACGGGTATTCGTTTACGAGCGAGAACCGGTCGTTCGCTCGCGAATCGCCGTAGATCGGGTCGGAAATAGACACGGCTCGGTGGAGCAGTGCCGGGCAAATAAACACGGGGATGAAACAATGACTCGCTAATGACGCGGTAAGAACAACGCCGGCTACCACTGTGGTGCACACGACTGGAAGAAAGCGCGAGAGTGCAATAACGAACGCATTGTTGGCAGGCGCCGCGACAAAGGGGTCATTATGATAAGTATTAACACGTCCCGGACGCATCGGGCTGTCCCTTAATAAGTTACTCGTGTCGCGATTCGACTCGCTCTGCCCACGTGTCGCTCTGCACACCACGATCCCTCGCTTACCGATTTTTCGCTACCGGATGAGATTCTTTGATGGAATATTTCTTTTTCTTCTTCTTCTTCTTCGAAGTCTTGAGAATTAAAAATTTTCATCCACTTTTTGTACGTATTTGTTAGGAAAAAAAAATTAGGATCGTTCAATTTTCAGTATATCTCGTATTCTTTCGACTCTATTAATTTATTATTCTTTCTAAGGTTAATTGTCAGAGCTTATTTTATTCTCTCCATCATATTCTTCATTTTATTTTATTCTTGTCAAATATCCGGAATTTTTTATCGAATTGACTATGAAAGTATAGTTAAATAAACAATTAATAATAAGGTGTTAGGCGTCGTATATATGTAAACTAGAAATAGTTATAAATTAATGTTATTAAATATTGAAAATTGCAAGTGGATGTATCTTTGGTCAGAAGAAGTTATTTATCTCGAATTTAAATATTTCGCAATTACGATAATTTGACGAGACTTTTCAACGAAGTATTCGTTCTTCGACAATTAAAAAAGAAAGGAAAAAGAAGAAGAGGAAATAAATAATCCGATAATTTTTTTAAGCAAACCTTATAAGTAACATATAAGTAGTACATCACGAGATGCAGACCATAAATTCACGAAACAACTTTACGAAAGGAGCAACTTTTCACATCTCCGATAAGGATCTTCAGACGGACCAAACAACCCACAAGGAGGAAAAAAAAATAAAGAATCTTACCAAACTTCCCGTTTAACTTTCCTCCTCGGCCAATTATCAACCTTTCTATCCTCGACGAAGCCACACACGCGTCCAAAGTCAAACCACTTCAACCTCATCACACTTTCTAGCTCTCGAGGCCCTCCTTTCCCCCGAAAAATTCCCCCGAAACTCGTAATCACTTACGAACCTCCTAAAAGTGGAGCAAACGAAATACACACACATCTTCTGGACACATTATGTATGAACGGTGTCGTGTTCGAGGCCGAAAAAACTAAAGTCTGCTGCACAACCTGTGTGTCGGCTTTTAGCAGCCAGGTGTAACGAGACGAGGAGGACTAATAACTCGTTAACGTCCTTGGCCACGGCCCAGTCCCGGTAATTTCTTC